ATTATTGGTGATGTTGTGAAATATCAGACACATATAGGTATCTGACTAAACAAAGTGTGCTTTCATAATGCCCAGCATTATCCAGCTTGAGCTGGACATACTGGGCATGGCAGGGACATGTGTGAAACAAATTCAAGGGGCATAAATATTTGCTGGACCACTGGGAGTTTGACCCCAGGTCAGTGGCACACATGTACCAAGCATCTCTGTCCAAATAGAAGGGGGCAGCCGCAAATGCCCCGCGGGCCACAGGGTTCCACGCTATGGAAAACATTTTGCAGAACGCACGCATCACGTCAATTCATTTCCTTGGTTTTCAGACTTTTAAAAACGAAAATTAAGCAAAAAGAACGATCTAAATCAGAGGGCTAAAACTAAAATCTGTGGGTATTCATTCCCTGAAACTGCATGTACTGAAATTACTGATTTCCTGGTGACTCTGTTTTCATGTTGTTCATCTAGTTCACTTTTTTTCTAATCATTCAGAGAACCAACAAATGAAATTGGCTTGGCCACTAAGAACAAACATGATGTTTCAAAATGGCAGTACATCTGATTGCTCCAGAAATAAATGTCACATCAATTTTCTCTTGCGTACACTTCTCATGTAGGTTATCCACATGTTGCAAATGCCTATGAGATGCCTGGAGTGTGGATACATACCTGGACACAGTACCAGTTTTTTCGGGCTTAGTTGCGACATTCTCAGATGTCACATATGGAGAGCATCCCAATGTTTCTTCTTGTAACAAGTATTACTGTCCAAATATATCCTGACTCCTGACTAGTAGTGCACAAATACTTTTGTTCGACACTGTATCTGTTTTTTTCGGACTTAGCTGTGACATTGTCAAATGTGCATTCACTGCTTCATGTCACGTACAGAGAACATCCCAACGTTTCTTCTTATAACAAGTATTACTGTCCAAATATATCCTGACCCCTGACTTAACACGTCTGGCCATAGTGTCACTGGCTAGAGGTCACTGCACCCATCCAATAGAGAGATTTATAGACAGTATAACCTACATATGGCCATCTGACATAAGCTCTTCTTCCAGAGTCTTTAGCTGTCTTGGTGTGCGACTTTTCAGTAGATATAAAAGATTAGTTATCTCTTGGAGTTTAGACCGAGCGATCCTTTTTCTCCTTTGGTTTTACAAGGGATCATCAAGACAGCCTGGTTATTTATCTTACTACTAATGAAGGTTAGATGCAGGTTATGGTGCCGCAAGTACAACCAGACATCGCCTTCATTTTAACCTTATCCCGGCTAAGGTTACCTTTTGGTACTTGATTTGGATTCGTTAGGTGGCTAGACAGAAGGGGGAGGGTTACATGTACTTAGATTATAACAAAAACAAAGCAATTATGGTATGTCTGTTTTACCTCCAGCACTCTTGTTTTCCGAGTAACTAATACAAAGTTTGGACATCCATTGCAGCTCAAGTGCTTTACGTACGCAACAAGACTCTCGGTTACACCCAATTCAGCTCCTTTTAGTGGACGTACATGTATCAGTTGGATCTTTTTACCAGTCGCAGGGTATAATTTTACATTCTCAAAGTGTCAATGTCAGAAATGCTACAAAAGTACATGCTTACAATGTAATGCTGTACCGAGAATCACATTCTTACCAGTACAAGATACCAATCCTGCACAGAATGCGTGGCTATTTTCTTTCCACGTGTACGAAATGTCTACCTGCTGAAAAGTCAGGCAGCAGTCCCACTGGTATGGTAAATACAGTGATGGTTTACACGGAGGAATTGGCAGGAGCTTACCAAATGAAACATGATGACAATGTCAGACAGGAGCACTTGAACTTTGCACTCTGAGTATGTATTGTGAAATTCCTGCACACCATGCTGTTGGCAACTGATATTCACAATGTAAGAACGGTCCAAGAACCACATAGATCACACCGGGTTCTTGCAGGACAAGATCACATGCACCTATCATATTTGAAGGGTAACGTTTTAGAGGAAACCAGATTGATGAGGGCACTGAAAAACAGGACCTCTTTCCCTGTAACCACATGGCTAGAACATGTTTTCTGTGGTTGTGGTTGGAAGGGAGTCAAAATATAGTTGAAGTAGAATCAACCAGTCACAAGCAGGTAACACCCTGGGCCTTTCCATGTCATTTTGAGGTCCCATCAAGACCTACCCACATACCAAGTATCAAGACAATCCACATACATGTACCATTGATTATCTTGCCTTTGACATGTCTTCTTTTGGTCCCTGCCAGTGTCAAGTCTATTCCATCAAAGTCCTTGAGTTGGAAACATTCTTGGACCCTTCCTTTTTATTCACTGTGCTTTACTTCTTGATTACCAATCTCCGCTGCATTTTAGCATGCTTGTTCTATCTGACTTTAGGTGTTATAAATTGCAACATGTATCTCACTTCATTACACCAGCTGTACCCTATCTGGACCAAACCTGCTAAACTACAATGTCCCAGCTATCACTATAATAACAGCCTGAGATACTTCAGATGGAGAAACATTAATTGATCTGTAACCTTTACAGCCAATACACATTCCCTGAATTCCTCCAAGTGGTCAGGGAGATAGGGGCATCATTAATCAGAATGAACTTTTCTGGAAGCCAAAACGGAAGCCGAAATATGTCAATATATACTTCAGGCCTTTACCTGTCTCAGAATTCTGAAGGTTCAGATCTACACTTGTTTCATCTTTGTCTTTTTTCTAAGCTTCAGCTTTCGTGAGGGTGGACACTATGTGCTAGAGCCAGCCAGGAATATCAGAAGTCCATCTTTTTATCTCCTCCCCAATCCACTTTTGGAAGGGCCCTCACACATTCCAGCACATGGAGAGGTAGTTTACTGGTTCATGTCTGTCTACAGTACAGCCCCCTACCTCTATGCTATTTTTGGTCCATCTTTTTTCAACAACTTATGTCTATATCAAAACCTATGTATGTAAAAAGACAGCTAGAATTTATGTAAACCTAGTGCGTAGACCAGGTTTTGGGTCCCTTCACCATGCTGCAAGTCTATTCACTTTTTTTCCCAAGGTATACATAAAATTCCTTCATACCAAACCTGGCAAAAGGTCTTAAAAAAACATGTCTTTAAAGGCATAGATTTCTGGTCCTTTAACCTATACATGCTCCTAACTAACAGGTGGTGATTAATATGTATATAGGATACAATATGGGAAAAGTGCCAGTGACGCAGTGCAACTCAAAGGATAACCTTTTCCTGAATTCCGTGAAAGTAAGAGCTAACACTGACAGAATGCAGATGTGCTTGTGGCTGTGCGCGATAAAGTGTTTCTTTGTACTGGACTTTTTCTAAATATACATTGAGGTACAGAACTTTGTTAGAATGTCAAGTGTGAGATTTGTACTTGAATATCTTTTAACATATTAGGTTCCTTCCAAACACTGCTGGGTTCATCTACAGACTTTGCAGCTCAGATTTCTAGTCTACAGGTTGTTTCTAAGGTCTTCTATGATACCGTTTAGACGTTTGTAAATCAAAGAATTCCCTGGGAGACACTTCACTTACTGTTTTGCTTTTAGGGAACGCGACTAGCACAAGGCATCTGTTTACATACTTTGTGGAATGGCAACAATCTGATATTTTGCAAACTATTGTGAGCCTACCCTTATCTGCCATAGCGAAAACCGGACACCTCAGTTTCAGGGCATCACTGCTGGTTGGGAGGATTGGAGGTGTGGCTTATGAATTGAGGTGGCACCATTAGCGTCATAGATATGACAGTCTCACTGGTAATTTACGCAGGGGCATGACACAGACAAACACCTCCTATGTGTTTGCCAGTGTTAATGAGGTTACAGTCACGAACATGACAGCTGGAAAATGTCTAATGAGGTGCTTTGGCAATGCCCGTGATTTTGGAAACAGTTAAGGCCTTGGCCTTCGTAACAAGTAAGGGCTTGAGTTAACAAGCAGACCTGGAACAACAACGCTGATGTTAAGCTCACATCTCCTCCCACTAACGAAACACTTCTTTTCCCAATTACCTATCACTTCTCTGGCTCCTTGAGTGGACCAGTGGCATTTTTGACGTGCCTTCCTTTATTACTTTGAGTGGGGCCTAAGGCTTCCTTCTCAACTCTGAATTAGGCAACTTGTGTATATCCATATATAAGACATGTAACAAATGTTCGGATTGATATTAAAAGTGCGGCCTGATAACTAACAGCTGTTGAATCTGTGACTTGGCCAGTTTGGGTTCAAGAAGGCAGAAGACTGATAGATGCACTTGTGGCCCTGCTATGACACAAGTCAGAGTTGGCACAGTTGGCATGGCTGAGAGCAACAAATAAGGATGGAAAATCTTGGCAGGTCAAGAAGCTGGCATCTATGAGTGGTTTCATACCAGGTTTTTTCAGTCCAATTTGACAAAGCTAACAGCCGCACAGCAGGCCAATTTGAAGACATGGCACTGTTCGTGACCCAGACTTGCTCAGACACTGTCATACTAGCTAAGGCATTTAGATGCATGGGGTTTGAGGTAGCCTAAACTACTTTTTAAATGCATGATCATGTGACATTTCGCACACTACACACACGTATGAAGTCCCCGTGCCTTTACAGCGAAACAAGCTCAGCTACATGCACAAAGAACCTGTTTCAAACCATCAAGACCGTGTTCCACCCCTCCTTTTCCCCCCCTCCAGAGCAAGGCCTAGCTGGAATAGCCTGCCTACGAATGCAGCAGTAGGAGCTCCTGGACAGTTTGTCCCAGACATATCCCAATGAGGCCATGATTAGCTTTCCTACTGAGCCGCTCTAGATCAAGGTGAAATAAGCCACGGCTAACATTAAAGGGACTGTATCAACACATGCAAGAAAGCCTGCTTCTTTGAAGGCAGGAAAATGGATTAGAAGACGACCTTCGTTCGGGGTCATGTACGTAACAAGGCAAAATCATTAACTGTGGTGGCCTTGTCCCTCTGGAAAAGGAACTGAACATTAATTTAAGAAATAGTAATGCCTTACCTTGAGTGAAGTCGCTGATACTGTTGTTGCCTTCCTTGACGTTGATGATGCGGCCGAACTCTGGCTGTGTGGTGATGAAGTATCGCAGAGTCTTGTCATTACTGTCCCGATCCTCAGCCTTCAGGTACTTGGGAGTGAAGCGGAAACCGAGATGGCCGGTCTCCAACTCCGCTATGGTCGGGGCTCCCTTGTTGACGACGATCTGCGGGATGCCGTTGTCCACTGCCAGGATTTGGATCTTCATTGTGACCGGTTTACGCGTTTCGTGTTCGGTGTCCGGGTACACAAAGTAGTCCATGTGCGTGCCATCAGTCACAGTGAAGGAGAAGCTATCACTGGTGGTCTCGCTTCCATCGTGTTGGTAAGTGATAAGGTTCTCGTTTAGGTCCGCCATAGTGAACTTGTTGACGATTTTGGACTTGTTATAAAGGAGGTTGCCATTGACAGGAACCTGGGTGATTGTGAACGTGAGTTTGTTGTCGGGGGTGTCTCTGTCTTCCATCATCAGCTCGAAAGGCGTGATGTACTTGTTTCCTGCCTCCCTCACACGGATGTCCCGGAAAGTCACGACAGGCTTCTTGTTGTCGACGTCACTGATGGAGATACGGAAGGTACGGAACACGGGATTGAAACCGTCCGTCACCTCGAATTCGAAACTGTCCATCTTGATTTCTTCCTCGCTGGTGTGGATGTAGTAAACCTTGTTTCCTGCCAGTTCGAGCTGGGTGAAGGTAGTGATGGGGATGCCGGGGAAGTCTGTGTTCTCGAGATGGCCTCGGAGTGGAGCGTTGGTGATGGTGAACTGTAAGTTCTCATCATCACTGTTCAGGTCGGATGTGCTGAGAAGATCCGTGGTGAGTTTCACCAGTCCTCCTTCCTTCAGCGTCACTCCTTTGTTGATGATCCCAGGGTGCAGCATGTCGATGCTGTCAACTGTCACATAGAAGTACCTGTCAATCAACGGGTTGAAGCCGTCCGTTACGTCAAACTTGATCAGGTCACGAACACCCTCCTGCCCAACATGCATGTACTGGATATGCTTCTCGTCGATTTCCCTCTGTGTGAAGTTCATCCCAACTGTGATGTTCGACACAACGAAGCCGTTGATGACTCGCTGCAGGAAGCCATGCTGAGGACCAAACCTTACAATGAAAGTCAGGTTCTTGTCCTCGCTGTCCAAGTCAGTGGCTTTGAGAATGTTGTTGTCGATGATTTTCGTCTCTCCGATTTCGATGTCCACCCCGGTGTTGGTCATGAGGCGGGGAGTTTCGTCATCTACAGGGATCACCATGACGAGGATGGTCTTTTCTATGTCATGGACACCGTCTGTGAGACGCAGGTCGAAACTGTCCTCCTTTGTTTCTGTGTCATCGTGCTCGTACTTGATGTTCGACCCTTCCTTGACCTGATCCATTGTGAAGTTCAGGACCGGGATGGTTCCCGTGGGCCTTTGCTGGACGATGACACCGTGCTCTGGAGGTTTGGTGACGTAGAAGTGAAGCTCATCTGCTGGGATGTCCAAGTCTACTGCACTCAGGATGGGCAGATCGATGGCAAGGTTCATACCTTCCATCACAATGAACTCTCTCATGAAGACTTCAGGCACTTCGTCATTGCTTGGCACTATGACAATGGGGAAGAAGTAGTTAGGAGAGAAGTTGAAACCATCGGTACACCTTAAGGTGAATCTGTCCTCGACTGGCTCCACCTTCTTGTGAACACTTTGTACATACTTGATATGGTTCTTCCTTATGTCCCCGATGGTGAATGAGGTGATCTGTTTGCCAGCTCTGGATTTTTCTGATCCTGGAGCAGGTGAGATGTTCTCGACAAAGCCTTCCATTGGTTGAACTATGATGGTGCACATGATGTCGTCATCTTCTGTATCAGGATCTGTTGCGCTGAGATGAGCCAGGGTGATGGTAGCCTTGCCTGCTTCATCGACTACATACTGTTCCCCTACTGTCACATTGGGAGGGATGCTATCCACGGGTAGGATAGTTACGAAAATCTGGACCTGCTCAATGTTGTTGCCTCCAACAATCCACTCATCCGACATGTCTGACAGGGTGAGGTTGAACATGTCCTCTTGCTTCTCTGTGCCGATTTCTCCACTCGTGTGCACGTACTGCACAAGCCCATTCAGGATGTTCTGCTGGGTGAAACGATCTGATGGGATCCCATCCACGACAATGATTCCCTTTTGTGGTGGCCGGTCGGTTATGATGAAGGTGAGCATGAGTTCGTCGGTGTCTGGATCCGTCGCACGCAGAATTTCTGGGGTGATGGTGGTGGCACTGTTCTCCATGACTTCGATGAACGTTCCAAGTGATCCTGGCGGAAGATCAAGTTCAGGAAGCTCGTCGTCAATGGGGCGAACTCGGAGACTGACTTCAAAGGTCTCCTCATGGATGCCATCGCTTACAGTCAGCTTGAAAGAATCATCTTCGTTCTCTCCTCCTCCGTGTATGTATGCGACATACCCTCCTGCAATGTCATCCAACGTGAAGATGGAACCTTCAGTCATGTCTAGTGTGTCGTATTGGAGAGTGCCATGCTGGGGCATCTTTGTGACCTCAAAGTAAATTTGTGACGAGTCGGTGTCAACGTCCGTGGCGTCCAGATCATCTGGCGTAAGCACCACCGTACCTCTCTCAAACACTGTGAGACCCTCGTTGGTCAGTACTGGAGGCTTGTTGTCGACTGGACGGAGGAAGATGGTGAACCTCTGCCCATCTACAGAGTTCCCGGAAGTGTCCTGCACAGAGAAGACTAACTGGATGACGCGTGGTGTCAGGCCGAGTTCCACATCTGGAGGTTTGTACCCGATTTTGTGGTGGTTGACTTGAGCTTGGGTGAACATAGTCACCGCCACGTCTGGCTCCTCAAACAGCACGATCTGCCCACCATCAAGTTCCTCGTCTATGTCGTATGGCTGTAATATGATGGTGTACTTCAGATCACGGTCATCTGAGTCGAGATCGGTATAGCGGAGGAACTTCTTCCTGAAGGATGTCAGCTCAAACTCGTCAACTGTCATCTGCAGAGTGGTGCCCTCGTAGAGAGTCGGAGCGATGTCATCAACGGGCATGATCTTCACGATGAAGGAATAGACTCTTGACAGATTCGGAGGGTCGTTGTTGTCTGAAACACGGAACTCGATGAAGTCCATGACCACGGACGTACTATGAGCGCCGATGTGACGGTAGTACACCCTTCCTTCGTATAGATCCTCCTGGGTCCACTCTGTTACAGTTTTCTCGTACAAGCCTAGGTCGTCCAGAAACCTCCAATTCTCAGGGTCTTCTGGAACTTCAAACTGCCTCAGGACTATCTCGCCTTGGGAAGAGTAAGGAGTTTCCAGTGTAAACTTGATGCTTGAGTCGTCAGAATCTATGTCAGTGGCACTCAACACCCAGGCTGAGATTTCTACCGTTTGCCCCTTGTTGATGGTGAGTCCTGTGTTGGCGTTTAGGATGGGAGGCTCGTCATCAGTTGGGATGATGTAGATTGGGAAGAGGAATTCAACATCACTGTCACCATCGGTCATACGGAAGATGATGTTGTCACTGTAGGTGTCACTCCCATCGTGACTGTACACAACCACACCTGCATCCAGCTCCGCTACTGTGAAGAACTTCCTGCGCTGCCCGCGGATCAACAGTTCACCGTGCCTCAACCCCGCGATGGGAGAAACTGTCACATCCCGAAGGTTGTCTTCGTCGGAAATCTCCAGGTTCAGAGAACTGAGCAGCGGTCGGGACTGCCCCTCGTACAACAGCTGCCCGGTGTTCCTCGTCACGATAGGAGCGAGGGTGTTCATGGGGTTTACCACGATCATCAAGTTGAAGGGGTCAGATGTCAACCCTTCTGCATCAACAACCTCAAACTCTACCTGGAAGATCCTCTGTTGGTTGCTGTCAACGGCTGGGGGTTTGTAGGCAATCTTCAAGTCTCTTATGTCGCGTTGGTAGAAGGAGCTTAGAGGCAGGTTCCGATCGTCTGTAGAGACAATCTCTCCCTCGTCGACGCCCAGTGGGGCCGTGATGTTAAAGATGAGCTCATCAGCATCTGTTTCCAAGTCCTCCGCTGCCAGGATGTCTGGAGTGATGGCCGTCATCACGAACTGGTTGACTTCTAGGATGAACATGGAGGCGAAGGAAGGCTGCGGAGCGGTGTTGTCCTCCCCATCCCTGACCCTCACCATGACCTGGAAGTACTCCCTCTTCAGCAGGTTCCCTTCCGTGTCAGTTAGCTCGGCAACCATGGGGATGTAGTCGCGGTTGGGAGAGTTTGTTTTCGAGGTGTGCCTGTACCTGATGTTAGCCTGCAGAAACTGGTCACAGTCGATCATGCTTCCATTGATGTTGTTTTCGATGACACCGTATCTCGGGAGGCCCCGTCCGCCATTACTGCTCAAGACGGTGACGCGGCAAACCTGGTTTCCTCTGTCGTAGGAGAACTGTATGACGCTGCGGTCGATCGGCCCGCTGGCGCCCATGACGGTGGGAACGTTGAGAGGGACATTGCGCGTCACGATCTCCAGCTGGATGAACTGGACCTCCACCTCAATCACGAACGGCACGATGATCGTTTCTGTCTGGGAGTCATAGCGCAGCTGGAGACGGATGTGATCTTGACTTGGGCTGCGGGCACCAAAGTGCGAGTACTGGACCTATGGAAAGAACAGAACAGCTGTTTATATTTCTGCACGTCCATTAGGGTAAAGTCTGAACATAACATTCAAATGAATCATTGCACTGAATCAATGATAAATCCACTCTCACAAAAAATGTCCAACAATTTTGCTTAGTCAATTGCTTGCAATCATATACACTAGTGTGTTAAAGGGTGAGTAGAGGCTATAGAATACAGTATTGGCATATAGACCTGTATTTAAAGAATTGACACATTTATACAGTATGGAACAGATAATCAGATGGTATCTACAATAGAAATTCCTAACATAATAGTCAACATTACCCCGATTTATAGGCGATACCCGGTGACCCCTAAAGCTATTTCAGGACAACATGCCTCGTTTTCAGAGATTTACGACTTCAAACTTCAGCAAATTTATTTTCAGAGGTTGTTAATAAATCAGAGTAGAGAGGGGAAAATGCTGATGAAGAACAGCCCAGATTGAATTGGTGACAACCTGTTATTTGGCTAAAATTAATGTGTGTTTCCCCTACATAGAAACAGTAATATGTAGAATGGGAATCATCACACTAATTACATTGGACTGAAACAACTAGCCAATGAATAGTAGTCAAACCTGGGGAATAGGATTTCCGCCCAGCAATTTAGTTCAGCATGTATTTTTGTTTATATAGTGAAACCTAACCCTGAACACCCTGGGCAATGGGAAACATATTCATTGTTTGCCATCACACCTCAATGTGCCTTGGTATGTTTCAATATAAAGCTATAAAGCCTATAATAGTATAACCTGCAAATGTGAGGGTTTGTTTTTAGTGACCATGATTCTAGCAACCAAAATGCAAATCGATGATCACAAACTTCAGAGGAAACTTTTGTCAATCACCTTACAAACATGAAATTAATTTGGACCAGCCTCAAGTACACATGCTGTTGGTCTGGTCCTAGCAAGTCTGGTGGTCATCACCCTCCAACCATGGGGTAGGATTAGCTTCAGAATGGTTTCCACTCCACCAGACCTGACCAAATTGGACAGCTAAACATAACACATGCCCAGCCAACTGTTCTACTCATCACCCCTCCCACAAACTAGCAGGACTGGCGTCTGATTGGTCAAAAAAAGGTGCCGTAAGCTGCCATGGCAGCCAAAAGTAGGAGTTGAACATCCCTGGATACAGTTTACATACTCTTCAGTTCCATTTGATGGACACAGAGAATGGATTTCTCCATAATTATCAAATAAAACAATTTTACTTGTCCTAATCACTTCCATACTGCATACTTTTTCTTTACACTGAATCCCAACCATGTACATTGTACATGACTAACCTTTCTTGTTATTGAGGATGACCTACAGTGTAAGACTTCCTAAGTAGACCTTTGAAGTTTACACATCTTCCTTTTTTGTAATCAGGAATTCCAATCATTCAAATCCTTTATCACACTCTGATAAACACATGTCCCAAGTTGCCAATTAAAATCATTCTTCCAAATTCCTGACTAGGCTCTATCATTGCATCTACAATTCAGTCTATTATGGCTGGTGCAATTTTTATGCACAAGATACGAGTGATAGGTTAGAAATGCCAGGGGAAACAAAAACGATATAGAGTAATCGCCTACAGTGAAGCTGGCTACCCCTACAGAAGCTCCCAGTTGGGAACTTATGGGTTTCATTTGGAGGTGTCCACAAATGGTTGGGCAGGCTAATTGCTGCAGGATACAAACCCTACCTTTTGCCACAGGAGCGTAGCCAATTGGCGAAACAAGTACTCAGTTGGACTCTGGTCCGTAACTTGTCCCAGGTTTGTTTAACCATCCCCATACTAGGTGCCAACCAATTAGAAAGCCTTGTTCCAATCGGCCTTGACTCTGCTAGGGATAACAATGCCTGTACTGGGCTCGTGTGTCATCTGCCGTACCTCTTACCAGGAGCAAAAGGGTTTAGTTCAGCATTATAGCTTTAGACATTAGAACCAAACTCTAAATACAATATGAATTGTAGCTTGCAGTCTACTCTTTGAAACCAACTGAACATTAACATTGACTCACAACACTCTTAACAAAATCTTCAAGACCCGTTGAAAAGTTGAGTTGATTTCTTCATACAACCCTTCAAACTGTGGGAACTTTTCCCTGTGCCACCCATCTTGCTAACAATGCTAAGCCTAGTTCAAAGCTTTGATGCAAGTGGGCTAAAATAGTGCAAGTGCTTCTGTACAAAAGCCCGCTGCTCTACTTGATAGGCGTGAAATGGGAGAATAAAAAGGCCGAGGGATCATTTGCGTATTTCGTGTAAACACTATACATTTCAATGTCAATGGTGTGGGGAGAGGAGAGGGGAAGGCCTCTGGCTCTGTGCCAGTTCACACTGGACACACAAGTGAAGAAAAGAAAAACTTTCTCACGTCTGTAAAAATAAAGGGTTTGATGACTTTAATTAACAGGATCAGTCTGATCTTTGTTATTATAGATGGTTTCCTCTGATCTTATCTTTTAATTACTTCAGCCTCTTACCATCACAGAAGAGCAAAAACAACTATAAACTAATAAAAAGGAAATAAGTGAGAACAGGAATTCGGGGTTTACTGTTTTCCCTGACAAAGCAAATATTTCTGGTCCCTAGGCAAATTGGCAAAAAAGTCCAGACGCCACCAAAAATAAACTTGTCGTACAAAACTTTGCACTGGGGATCTGACAAGCCGGTAAACACTTCGGCAAACCCTCTTGTTTATTCAAGCGAAACCCCTAAATATTTGGCGGAACCTCCGATTGTAAACACAAGGTCTCCTCCTTTCCCCAAAAGTTTTGGCTTCATTTAAACAAATCTAATTATAATTTTCACCTGTCGCCAAGAAGTTTCAACGCGATGGAGAATCGGTACTCTTGTTATGATGCCTACATTACTAGTATATAGTACATACTTCAAGGGAAGCCAGCCGGCAAGAAGTTCAAAAGAAATTTCGGGGCTTTGAAACTTTGTGAAAAGTTGAAAGGGCGTTGCAAACGGTAGAAAAAAGGTGTGAACATTAAATTGAACAGTGAAATCGCGTTGAACAAGGGTTGTTTATGTTCGGAGGAAACATTTTCTATTATAGACATTTGGATGAATAAGGATAAATAAAGTTTGCAAAAGAAAGTCTCACCTCGTTCTGTCCGAAGTCGCAGGGGAAGGAGTTGGGCATGAGCCTGCCGGGTCGCTGGGACAGGGGGTCGTTCTGCAGGACCGTCACGATACATCTGTCCCCGGGCACCACGCGAATCCGCAGGTCCCGGGCCGGGTCCAGGAACACCGAGCGGCCGAACGGCACCTTTATCCCGGCGTTGGTGAGGATGAGGTTGTCCCTGGTCGTCCCAGCCCGCTGACACACCGCCACGGTCCACAGGCACGCCAGGAGAACACACCACAACATCCCGTCCTCTCTCCTCCACAGCCGCGCCATGTTGGAGCAAGCTCGGCTCGTCTCCAGACCCCCTTCGATGCCAAGTTTGCCGACCGAGTCAAACACAATCTAAGACACTCGCTGCACTTCCCACTACTTCAAGATGTAGCCCGGGTGCTTCTTATACCAGCCTCTCAAGGTCGGTACCGATCAAGAAAAAAGGTCCAGTGCAGTACGAGCTGCCAGTTTCACAAACACACCAGCAAAACTTCCGAACAAACTTGCTGCAAACTTCGCCTTGCGGTAGGTCCGTACTGAAAACACCAGCGTCCGATGCCAGCAAACTCCTCGGCTATGCTAAGCGATCCGACCCGCTAGTTTGAAGCCGATCCTGCCGGCTTGAGCTATGTGCCCGAGGCTTGGCTGGCGACCTGGCTGGGCTGAGTGTTGTGAGTACAGTGGCGGGTCACACATGTGAGCCTGCATGCCTGCCATGCCACACAGGATACATTACCGGGGCGGATGGACACACCGAACAACGCACAACACTCAACCGCACCACCCGAAAAATCAAGGCGCCAAGAGAACACTTGAAAAAACTTGGTCTTAGCGGCGCCTTTTCGACTAACTCCGTCACTTCTAACTAACTTTGCTTTTCTGAAGTACAGCCACTTCGAAAAAGAACAACAGAGAAATTCCTAACTACTTGACTTTTGCATTTAGATAGAGAGTCGCCATTGTCAAACGCTTTTAAATGCAGGAATTCTAAACTGTTTTGACTGGCGTTAACTTTGAGTTATTGAAAACATGGAAAAGCTTAGCGGATCACAGTTCTTGAGAACTTTTGCCAACCTTTACTCGACCAGAACGAACGACAAAGAGCTCTAACAGCTCTTTTGTCAATTTGCCAATATGAGTTACACTGGTAATGTTACTGCCTTTGCCCTGCGCTATAGATCTGTAATGAGACGGATGGAAAGCCAGCCATACCGTGCCCATCCAAACTAACTTTTGCCAATGACTTTGTCTGGGAAAGGGATTCCATGCGAGTTAAAAGTAGTCCCTATAAACATCAGAATGGTGGCCTGCGTGCTGGTATATTCCCCTGATATAACTCCGATTCAATATTGGTTCTTTGTTCTCTTTTTGGCCATAAAACTGTTCTCTGATAGCTACTGTGTTCCGTTGGCCCCTGCGTTCAATATCAGACAATTGGGACTTGTGATAAAAAAAAGACTGTAGGTTCAGCGAAAATTGCAATGCCTTGGGGCTATGGGTTGATCGGATATGGGTCATTCAAGTTCAACTTCAAGAGAAGACATCGGATATTAGTCTGCGCCGCATGAAGCCAGCCGCCCCCTGCGGGGAAGACCCCTTTATAGCCCCGGACAGTGGTGTTTGTGTTACACAGACTATCATGCAGTCAGCAGTGAAGAAACTACATTTGTACATTTGTATTGAAAACGCACATGTTGTAATGTTAGACATTGCACTTCTTCTGTCTGTGGTATTTTTTCTATGATCACAAAGCATTCGTGAGGTATCATCCTTGCCCTTGGTGTTAGACTATCATGCAGCCAGCACCGAATAAACCATTCAAAGCACACATGTTGTAATGTTAGACATGTTAGACATTGTATTTCTTATGTCTGTGGTATTTTTCTATCATCGCAGATTCACACAGCATCGTGAGGTATCTACGTTTTGCCGTTAGAAACGGGTTCCGCCTAACGGTCCCAGGGCGCTGAACTGTCGCCAGCTTGACACTGAACTTGACTTTGTTCATGGCGTGTGCCAAAACGCTTTTCTCACGGGGATATCTCCCTGAACTTACCCTTATTCGGGACGGCTTGAAATAAACCGTGTAGAAATGTCTTTATCCAGCTATAAGACGTTTACTTAACTCATTGTAGCTCCATAGTTATCTGAAAGCAACATTCAGTAACATTCATCTATATGTCATTGTGCAAGGAGGTTAAGAACTCCTTCGTATGTGGTTGGGGATCGATATAAACGCCCGTCACCACAAGAAATTCACAGACGCAGCTATACAGCTTATGGGCGACCCCTAGCGACCTGATATGGAGCTAGTCAGTTTATTTGTTCGTCCAGACAATCGGGGGCGGGAACGTCCATGATGTGCAGTGCAGCTAATACAAAAGGAAAATTTTGCGCTAGCAGTAATAAACTTATGGTGTAAATATGGTGATTGTAACGATATGTTGGCAAGAATGACCACTGATGTTGTTTTACAGGACTTACCTATACCCTTCGTACAGCGAGGGTGTTGTGTTCTTCGGACGGTGTAAAGTTTGTTAGGTATTAGTCTGGGCAAGGAGCTGGTGAGCTCTTTGGCCAGCGAACCGCACACTTTCTTTGACAGTGTCTCTCGATTCAATAGCAAGTAGTAGCAAGTCGGGTTCTGGCAGGTGTTCTCCCAGAGTTGTCCTAGTTGTACATGTGCGCCGCACATCGACTGCCGCCAGAAGTGCACAAAATACTAAATTTTAATTTCTCCAACCAAAGCATAGAACCATTTCTGCTCATGCAAATTGCGAAGAATCTGTTGTATCTGATGAGAAATACAGTTTTACTATTTTATGAGTAACAGAGCAGAGAGAGAGAGAGCAGAGAGACTTTGAGGAAGTGTCACTTCTGACACAGGACCAGCATATGGTGGGACGGATATCGAGGGCCAAGTGTTGCAAAATTATACACATATAGAGAACAATTATCCTACTCAAGTAAGGATTAGGGTCTCACTCATACAGAATTTTTCTCTCTCCCACACAAGTGAGGGAAAACGGCCTCTCACATACAGCAGTTTTCTCTCTCCCACACACACAGCTTTCTGTCTCTCCCACACAAGTGTTGAATAGGGTCTCCCACACACAGGGCTTTTTTTCTCTCCCACACAAGTGTTGGAAAGGGTCTCTCAGACACAGTTGTTTTCTCTTCCACTTTAAGTATTGACAGGGGTCGAACACACACAGGTTTTTCTCTACATCTCTCGACACAAGTGTTGAAAGTCATTCTCATACAATAACGGGAGCATCATTACCGTACAGTGTGGTCTATGCTGAGGAAAAAAACAATATTCTCCGCTAGCATGTATCGCCGCACGACCTAGTTATGTGCGTTACGTTAATATCAGAGACCAGCTGGCGTACCACCGCGGCCGCTGCAATTTCTAATTCCATAGTACGTCGATAGATATATGTATGTATATATATATACATATCATATATAAAGAGAGAGAGACACCTATAGATTGTCTATAAGTGAGATGTTTATCTCTGACACTCAAACAAAATTCCCTGTACAGTCTGTGTATATCAAACAGACAGAGCACAAGATTCCAATGACTCTCCCAGTGTTCCTACGAGCGAAATTTGACTTGGCAAGAGTGACTGTCAGTGATAGAAAGTTGTTTGACATGCGGGCACACTTTGCATGCAGGATAGAAAGGTCGTCTCTTACAGACAGAGTCATTCTCTCCGACACACATGTAAAAACTCTCCTCCACATACGTACAAAACTCGACATTCTCTCCCACTTCCAGTCTCTATCAGCGACACATTCCGCTTTTCTCTTGTGAGTGAGAGAGTGATCGTCTCTTCGACATTGAAAAAAAATTCTCTCCCACATATACGGCGAAGAGTTCTCTCCCACATACAGCAAAAAGTTCTCTTCCACTCTTGTGAGTGAGAGAGTGATCGTCTCTTCGACATTGAAAAAAAATTCTCTCCCACATATACGGCAAAAAGTTCTCTCACACATACAGCAAAAAGTTCTCTTCCACTTCGGGGCGCTACCACCGACTCATTCTCTAAGTGGGAGAGTATTTTGTCCTCTGAGTGACAGAACGATACTGGTCTGTGAGTCGGAGAACTTACTTTCTTGGTGTAAGAGAGCTTTCTCTGTATAATGAAAAAAAAGTCTTAGATGTCTTAGACCGTAGAATATATGCTCATACACTAAATTGTTCAAAGTTGTATACTTTACTTACTGTAGTCACACATAACTTGACAGTGTGTGTAAAATACAAAATACTCTCCGACATTCAACAGGAATTCTCTCCCACATATACAACAAAAGTTCTCTCCCACATACAGAAAAGTTCTCTTCCACTTCAAGCCTCTACCAGCACCGCGTTCTCTAAGTGGAAGAGAATTTTGCTCTCTGAGTGGAAGAGCGATATTGCTTTGTGAGTCGGAGAACTTTCTTCCTTGGTGTAAGAGAGATTTTACAGTATGATGGACGAATGACTTTACAGTCTTACGCAATATAATATATACTCATACACTAGGTTGTTCAAAGTCGTATACTTCACCTACTGTAGTCATACATAACTTGACAGTGAGTGTAAAATACAAAATATTCTCCGACATTCAAGAGGAATTCTCTCCCACATATACAACAAAAGTTCTCTCCGACATACAGAAAAAGTTCTCTTCTCAGTCGGAGAACTTTCTTACTTTCTTAGTTGATCGAGTTGACCGAGTTGACCGAGTTGAGCAGGGTAGTGGACCGAGTTGCCCAGGGTAGTGGACCGAGTTGACCGAGTTGACCGAGTTGACCGAGTTGACCGAGTTGATTGAGTTGACCGAGTTGACCGAGTTGACCGAGTTGACCAGGGTAGTTGACCGAGTTGACCGAGTTGACCGAGTTGACCGAGTTGACCAGGGTAGTGGACCGAGTTGACCGAGTTGATCGAGTTGACCAGGGTAGTGGACCGAGTTGACCGAGTTGACCGAGTTGACCGAGTTGATCGAGTTGACCGAGTTGACCGAGTTGACCGAGTTGACCGAGTTGACCAGGTTAGTGGACCGAGTTGACCGAGTTGACCGAGTTTGACCGAGTTGACCAGGGTAGTTGACCGAGTTGACCGAGTTGACCAGGGTAGTTGACCGAGTTGACCGAGTTGACCGAGTTGACCGAGTTGACCAGGGTAGTGGACCGAGTTGACCGAGTTGACCGAGTTGACCGAGTTGACCGAGTTGATCAGAGTTGACCGAGTTGACCGAGTTGACCGAGTGACCAGGGTAGTCGACCGAGTTGATCGAGTTGACCGAGTTGACCGAGTTGACCAGGGTAGTGGACCGAGTTGACCGAGTTGATCGAGTTGACCGAGTTGACCAGGGTAGTTGACCGAGTTGACCGAGTTGACCAGGGAAGTTGACCGAGTTGACCGAGTTGAC